TAGCGTCAGCGCTGACGCTATCCCCATATATATGTATTAGCTCAGCGCTACACATTGTCCTCTTGTCACTGAGGTCCTCCATCCACATGACAGAGAGGGGAATGCAAAAATGACTCAGCCTGGAACTGAAAATATGGATGGAGGACAACAGAGCTGCTTCATGGAAGAAGAACCTCAGCTTAGCCTGTTAGCCTTTGAGCTAGCGCCAACACTATTATATATATTAGCTCTGCACTAGCACGACAAATAAGCTAAACTGTGGTCCTCCATCCATATTCTCAGTTGCAGACTGAGTCATTTTTTCATTCCCCTCTCTGTCATGTGAATGGAGGACCTCAGTGACAAGAGGAGAATGTGTAGCGCTGAGCTAATACATAAATATGGTGATAGCGTCAGGGCTAACGCTAAAGCTAACAGGCTAAGCTGAGGTTCTTCTTCCATGAAGCAGCTCTGTTGTCCTCCATCCATATTTTCAGTTACAGGCAGCCTTGCACCGATGACCTATCAATGTCATCATTTACCCAGAATGCTTTGCATGTAAATAAAATGGCCCTGTCCGTGTAATATATTTTCAAACTTTTAGTTTAAAAATGATAAAAACTGAACATCCTACAGTATTTTTACAGTCTTTATTTTACAGTTAAAATACAATATATGTTTATCAAATAAAGTCTAATGTTACAACTAATCATGGATCCCTTTAAAACTCTCCAGTTTGTGGTAAACATCCAGGAGTTTATTATTTTTCTCAGTGTGTTTGTTGTTTGACACCTTTTTTTTAAGCCTTTGTGGCAGCTGAACTGGAGGTGACTTCAGCTGACATGGCGTGTTGGCAGCAGGCCAGGCCAGCTCCAAGCCCTATCTCAGCTTGTTAGCGTTTCATTAGCACGTGCCCTGGTTGTTCCTCGCCCTGGACGCTGGCACGAGACAGCGCTCTGTGTGAACGTGCCAACTGGGTCCATTATTACAGTACATTAAAGTCCAGATTCTTAGTGGGAGTGCGCTGAGTTTATCTTGTGTCTGTGTGACAGTTTTTGTAGCTTAGTTTGCAGATGCTGTGCCGAATAACTATAACAGGAGTTAATACATTTATCAACAGCAATTATGCAAATTCTCTATCAGGCAAAAATAACAACCATCTGGTGGCTTCAAGTACTTCAATGTTATTTTCTTTTTTTAACTGAAAAGCCATTTCTGTTTCAACAAAATATGTAGTGCTTACCACCAATTAGTGTTTGGCAGTGTAGAGCAGGGCGACTGAAGAATAATTAGTTTTAGAGGCATTGCAGGACAGTGTAGGCTGTTTGGGAAAGTTAAAGTCTAAATATTACATGTTGAAACAAAGCTTCATTATGTTGCAMCACAAACACTTTCCATCAGTCTGCATCTGTCTCTGTCATAAGAACCAACAGCCTATAAAATCAGAGAAGACAGATGATGGCAAGATGCCTGCAAAAAGATAAGGACTTGGGGAAACTAAAGAAGTTACAAATTAAATCCAGTCTGCAAAGAGAGAAGTTTTCTTCCTGCGAGGCACCTATTTTCATGTGTTTAATATATTTTATGGCAATGCCTGTGTTCAACTTTATTATTATTTTAGGATTCTAATATTAGATGACTTTCATAGCCCTAAGTTCAACATTCGTCTGACATAAGTATTCATTTTTCTCCCTCAAAGCCCAGTTAACATCTGATTTACAGGCTTCTGGGAAACCTTCTGAGAGGCAGACTTTTTAAGCTAAAGTGCTCAGACTTTTAGTGGTTCTATTCCTCTTGTTGATAATTGTACAAAGAAATATTTTATGAGTTAGACTCAGAGAGTGGAAAATTCTTAAAGAAAACATGTGAAATCTAGATAAATATTTAAAGGAATTAGTTTTCTATATATAAATATCTTAACGTTTAAAACTTGGTCTGTATGTAAAATGGACTTCTGTTGATATTCTCTTTGCCCTGTTTATTGTTTTTTGAAAATTGTCATAGGGTTAAGATGATGAAAAACAAGAAAATTTTGCAACAAAAGCAAAAAAAAACAAAAAAAAAACAAGAGGATAGAAAAAGCTACAGAACATAAATGCTCATTTGTAACCAGCAATGCTTAGAAAAATGTAATTTTGAAAGACTAGGATGGAATATCAGGCTTCGTGTTAAATATGAACATGTTTTGATGGGATGCTCTTAATCAAATGTTATTAATCATAGAAACCACACTGATGTAACTTATGTATATTAATATGTATACTAGTAGATATATCTAGGGGCGGAGCCAGAGGGGTGGCCACCTGACACTTGATTAGCCACCCCAAATGATTGACAAGTGGGAGTGGGGATTGCATTTGGCAATAAAAGATGGTCAGTTAGAGCTAAAACAAAGTAAATATCTGTTATACAGCTGTATTCTCTAGAGCAGTGTTTTCCCAAAGTTGGGGTCGGGACCCAAAGTGGGGTCCCGAAACATCAAGGTGGGGTCCTGAAAAGATTTTCTGAATTAATTACATTTTTGCCTTAGTGATGGGTATTTTTCTAAAATACATACAAAAACAGGGGAGCAAATGAGACAATCAAACCA